TCTTTTTTCTCTCTCTCTCTTAATCGATATATCTATATCTGCCTCTTTCTTAGAGCAAACAACTAAGAGCGGCACAAAACTCAAAGTGACCTCATAACTCTTAACTAAATTAGCAGAGAATTAAGCTTTCTCCTTGACTTTATTGCTTTCTCATGCCTTCTCCCATTTGTGTACTTCGCCATATTTCCAACTACAGCACAGTTATTTCTTTATTTTTTTATCGCTATAAATGTCTATGTGTATATATATATACTTGTTCTAAACAATTTCTGTTATTATCGCTAATTTTTCTCAGTGTGGTTTTGTATATAACTTGTGTATGTAGCGATTGATTGATCAATGAGGCGGATTTCAATAATATCATTCGTTAAAATGTGTTCCACATTTTTTGTTGTTATCTTAAAAGTTAGCAAAAAATAAATTTTGAAGATTTTATGCCGTCAGACAATTATTTTTTCCAAAAAAATGCCTTCCAAAACTATTAGTAATATGAAACAATACATTATTTCAATTCTTATAACCTTTTACTTTAATTTTAATTTCTATTTTATATTCATTAATTTGTTTAATTATTTTTATTTTCTTGTTTTTTTTTTTCTTTTTTTGTATTTTTACCAAGGTACAACATTTAGGTATATTACTGCTGCTTCTCATTGATTTTCTTGCATATAATTTATTCCAATTTAATATTTTAACGGTATACTTTATTTTATCTTACTCTTCTTTATACCCTACACATTTCTTTAGCTACGCACATATTTATTTTGTTTTCAACATTTAAACACTTTGTCTTCCAACATAGCTGTATATTTACTTTATAGCTAAAATGATATGATTGTGATGTGAAAAAAGCATTGCAACCAAAAAATTTCTATATATGAAGTATGTCAGTGCTTACAAGTACTCGTGCACGCTACAGTTTGTTCACTTCTTGCGCAAGCGCATATATATTTATATATTATTTATACACCATTCTCACTTCGCTTCATCTTGCAATTTGATAGCTTTGTTGAAGCTTTCATGACTTCACAGAAACTTAAAATTAAGTTTCATTGGCGTGTTGAACTCTAGTAGGTAACTACAATGCATTCTATTGCTAGCTACTAATTTTCTTAATCTTTCATGAAAGCTCCCGTGAATTTGAAAACTTTTCTAACATTTGCTGCTGAAGATTAAAGCTTTCACTTGATAAGTTTTATTTCTAACCGTCACTGTTTTATTTTCCTTCTTCTTTGAACGCCTTAGTTTGTTGAGCTTTCACCTGGAATTTGGCCTTTCTGCTTAAAATTCGCTTCTCAAATTTGCTATTTCCTTTTATTATTGAAAATTAAATATTTTTCCATACAAAATAGTGACATAGAGGTAAAAGCTTTTACTTGAAATTGTTCGTCAATGTTATATCCATGTTCATCTTTGTGAACTACAATACTTTCTATGAATACTTTCTTTCTAAAGCTTTCACGAAAGCTCCTATGAATTTTAAAAGTCTTCTAATATTATATTTGTGGTTTCTTTTTATTATGTTGTAAAAAAAATATTTTTTGCAGAACTTAGTGACATAAAGATTAAAACTTTCACTTTAAAATTGTTATTTTATTTTAACCGTCAATTTTATGTTCTTTGAAGACTTTCACCAATCTTTTACCTGGAATTTGGTGTTTAGCGTTTCTGCCTACAGTATATTTACTCTGCCTAACAACTATTTGTTAAGCTTTCACCAAGTGGAGCTTTCACTGTTAAATCAAAACCAAGCAACTTTCTTTTAACCTTTCATATAGCTGTTCTTATTTAGCACTTCTTATGTACATTCTTAATGCAATATGCTGCGCTATACCTAAATGAGAAACATAAATTAAAGCTTTCACTTTAAAAAAATTATTTTTAAACTTTCATTGAGCTTTCACTTATAATTTGGTATTTAGCATTTATGCATATAATAATTTTGTTCGGTTTAACAAGTATTTGTTAAGCTTTCACCTGAAACTAAACTTACAATTGGCGCTTTCGCTGTTAAATCAGAAGAGCAACATACTCATAACTTTTCCTAATGCTTTTCTTATTTAGCACTTCTTATATAAATTCTTCATATCATATGCTTCGCTTTACCTAGCAAGCGTTTAATAAAGCTTTCAGTTAAACTAAAAATTTCCAATGGAGCTTTCACTGTTAAAGCATCTAGCACGCAACTTTTTCTAAAGCCTTTTTTCGCCTGTTTTGTTAATTACTTTATAATTAATTACTATAATTTAATGTAATTGATTACATAGCAACAATGGTGTATTAAAATGATTAAGGTATTTAAATCGTGAAATAAATTATCAGTAATGCATTTTGCTATTAAATAATTGTTATAATCAAACATTATAAAATCAATCAAATGTACAATGTTTAAACTTTTTATCAATTCCTGAGTTTTATTGCAACAAAATATTTGCTTCAGCACACGATGTTGCCACAGTTTCAAGAATAAAAGATAAATTTTAAATACTTTATATTAATTACTTATATAATTCATGGATGTATTTGGGTATTATTTGGAAAATTAATCAAACACTTTATGTAATTACTTTTTGAGTGTCAGTGTCAACTCTACAATTTACCGTTATCCATACTTGTCATTACCCTATTTTTCTTCAGCAATTTTCAGCTGATTTTTACTGCGCTCTCACTAATGTACTTGCATTAGTTTTTATATAATCTTCAGATTTTTCATTATTCATTATATGTATGTATATGCCAGCATGTACTTATGTGCAAATATGTATATAGTATAATATTAACTGCGTCTACGCTACTGCTGTGTATTTAAAAATATATATTTTAACATTACTTTGTAGCTTTAGGTGTGTGCAAAAAAAACATTTTATTATAAAATCTCTCACAGAGTGGCATTGAAAATTAATAAAATTTCTTAAGCATACAATAAAACGCGGTAAATAATTTCAGTAATTATTTTTTGTGAGTTTTAATAAAATTTCTATGTCGCCAATTACTTAGCATTACAAAAAATTATATATAATTTTTATTTTGCTAATGCAGGCCGCACTCGAAGATATGTTTACTGTAATATTTTTTCGTATTCACTTTTCATTTCCCTTTACAACTGCATGCTTGTTTGTTTTTGTATATTTTTCGTGTTTCTTTTCTACTTTCTATTCGTTACAAATTCTACACTGAGCTGTTTTTTGTTGCTATTGTATTGCTGCACATTCAAGTTGATTGTTTTTCATTACCATGTTTGCGTTCTCTTTGTTTAATTATTCAATTTTATTTTTAATCTTTTTTAGTATTTCTTGTTTATGCTTTTCTTGTTTATTTATTTTATTTTATTTTTTTAATATCTTACTCTTAGGTTATGTAGTATTTTCGTTTAACTCATTTCATATCTAAAGTTTAGAGTTTTTCATATTAATATATTTCTGAACAGTTCAATAAAGTTGTAATTAGAATAAACACATCTAGAATAGTATTTTGCTAACTTTTTTTCAATGCAATGTAAAATTTACTAGTAAATATAATATAATACAGCTATTTTTGTGTTGCGTTTCCGCTCACTTAATTAACTAACGGTGTAACGAAGGGACAGTTAGTTTTTATATGTAACACTTAAGAAATAGCAGAGAGCGAAAATTTAAAAAATATTCAGAAATTGATAGTAATGTTTACCAGACTAGTAATGATTACAAGACTAGCAATGGTAATGAATACTTATGTAACAATTCCGGTTTCAATAAAAAAGGAAAACATTTTGGAAAATGTCTACAATACTAAACAGTAATGTAGAATTAATTGTAATTATGATTATAAATGTAATGATTATTTTTATAAGAATACTCGTTTTAATAAAAGTAAATATAAAAAAAAAGTATGAAATACGGAGAGGTATTTAAGAAGTAATTAGATGTAATGTAATTGTAATTATACATATATTGATAATGGTTTTGAACTAATAATAAAAAATTACCGGTTGTAGTGTAATAGTAAGCATTACCAGACTAATAAATACTGCTTTCGAGAGAATACTGGTTTTACTAAAATCAAATATTTTACACAATATAATTACATAAGGTAATTATATGTAATGTAATTGTAATTATACAAGTAATGGCAATAGTTTGGAACTAATAATTACAGTAAAAAAATAGTACAGCGCAGGGGTAATGGTTGTAATGAATATAGTAATCATTAATAGACTAACAATACTAACTTTAGCAAAAATGCAAGTTTTAAGAAAACGTCAGTAGTCAGAAAAATATGTTACTGAGCAGTAATGAAAAAGTAATTATATGTAACGAATTGGTAAATATGTAACTATATGTAATTGCTCTTAAAGTAATAAAAATTAAAAAAACTTGGGTAATCCAGAGGTACTGGTTGTAATGGCATCAGTAATCATTGTGAGAATACTGGTTTTAATAAAAATAAATGGTTAAAAAATACGTTCAATATTGAACAGTAATTAAAAAGAAATTATACGTAATGCAATTAAAATTATACATATAATATATGTTTAGCAGTTAATAGTCTTAAACTTTTAAAAAATATAATATATTGATGTAATCTAGTAGTAATGTAATAGTAATCATTATCAGGCTAACAATATTTTGCTTGAGTAAGAATAAATAGTTAACAAATTTATACATTACTGAATAGTAATGAATAAAATATGTAAAAATTTGTGTAATGCAGTATTTGTAAAATATATTGAATAATAATATCAAGAATAATCATTATTTAAATAACTGTAATGGCATTAATGCTCATATTTAAGACTGCAATCGTATGCCATTTCAAAAAGTGTAATAACAGAATGAAAAATGATGAAAATAGTATGGATAATGATTACATTACATTGGTATTAGTACTGGTAATTTATGTATACCAATAAAGTAATGATAATCGAAACATTAATAAGTTTAGTAACACTGTTATTACTTGATAATAGGAAATTTTTTAGTTAAAAAATAATGGTAGAAGTAATTATAATAATTGAATAATAATAATCGCCCTCCACTACAAATACGGTCTCTTAATAATTATACGATTAGATTTGTTAACAATGTTATACTACCAATATACTTACATATGTACGTATAAACTATACAAATAGATCTGATCAAAACTGTTCATGAAACTCATAACAAAAAAAATAACATATCTACGCAGACATATGTAAATGCAAAATCATCTAAAATATTCTTCTCTCATTCTTACACCATGTTCACACTTCAGCCAATTCGTCTTATTCAAAATTTTCTTTTTCCAATTTATTGCGCGAATGGGTTGTGTGGATTTGCGCCAGGTATGTCCAAATTGCCGCCCGAAGTCTGATAGGTGCCGTAGGTATTGCCTGTGCCACCATTTGGATTCATCTCATTCAAACGTGCATTAGAGAGCGCACGCGGTATTGGATTACTGGGCACACCATGTGGCGCCAGATGTGAGGTCTCTTCCGCCACCTGTAATATGAACGCGCATGTACTACAAACTGTGTTATATGCTAGCAACTGTGAACTTACCTGTCGCGGATCCTCCGTTGCTGGCAAATCCGAGATGAAGCCCTGATCTTTACGATAGAAATTCACGAAAATGAAAATACCCAAGACGACGAGGCAAGCCAGGCCATAACCGCGGAATGTTTTCGTAGTGCCGTAGTATGTGACAAACATGCCACCAATAATAGCGCCACAACCGCGTCCCAAACCATGATGTATACCCTGCAGTACGCCCTGTGCTGAAGCCCGCAGATGTTTGGGTGTGCTGTGCGCTATGTACGAACAGGAAGCGGCCCATACGGCAGCATGTGTAACGCCCTGCATCAGTTCGAACGGTAACACCATCCACGGATTGGTCGCATATGAGATGTATAAAAAGCGCAGCACATTGCCGATTAAACCCAAGCATAACACCTTTATATGACCGATTTGTGTGATGAAACGGAAGCTGTAGAAGTAGGCGAAAATCTCGGATACGTGATTAATCACAGAGGCAACACCGAAAAGCGTTGGAGTGCCGCCATAGTCTTGTAGATGCCAAAAGAGGAAAGTGAATATCAGTCCAATGCCGAAACCCATAAACCAGGCGACGAATAGAAACGAAATAGTTTTCATATCTCTAAAGTGCGTCAACACAGTCAACCATTCGGGCATTTCCTTAGTCGTCTGTGCAAACATTGTCGACTGTGCGCCCACAGCGGCCTGTGGTGCCTTGCCGACCGCCGCCGTGCCACTACCCATCGCCAACGTGGGTAAATTTAGCTGTGCAGCCAGCTCAGCCATGCTCTCATCTTCCGCTTGTTTATTAGCGCTGGCATCTGGGTTCTCAACGGGCTTTTCGATGTCGATGGGATCATATTTGAAAGTGATCTTCGAGGCCGAAACAATAGCGCAAGTCATCAATATCGAAAATATGGCAAAGCAGATGTTGTAGTTCTTCTCCATGTGTCCGGCACCGCAGGGATGATGCGAGAAACGTGTCGAGTGATCGAGCACAATACCGACAACGAACATAGAAATACCCCAGCCAAGTGAGCCGAACATGCGCTGATGACCATACTTATCAGCATCGTCGCCAAGCAATGTGATGACAGCTGAGTCAGCGAGCGTAATAGCGGGAGCGCTGAAGAATTCACCAATAAGTATGACGAGTAAGAGCAGGAAGAAAGCCTTTTGTATGTCTGGTGTGCGATAGACCATCGAGGAGAATATAGGGCTAACATAGTCACGATGCTGTTTGTCATCGTAGTTGCTGACAAAGTTTATGTGTATGGGTGAGATGCCGGCATCAATGCGCGGTATCAATGAACGTTTGCGTCTAAAGGGAAGCAAAGAGATTTATACTTGAGTTAACTGTGTTCTTCTGGAACCAGTAGACAATAGAAGCGATTAGTAGTGTTTCGATAAACCACTGAGTTTTCACTCCGCATGCACTCACCTTCTATGCGATTCCTCCATCGCCTCGCTGGCTGGCATTGTGAGTGTGTCATGTAAAGCCGCTTGCGAATGGTAACTCTCCACATCGTCCTTATTCATATCGCTCATGTCATAAGCGGAGAGATCACGCTTCGTGCGTGTCAAAGTCAAAACGAAATCGGTTTCATTCTTACGTTCGATGCAATTCACAGCCTCCGGTTTGATGAAGCTCAAAGGTATAGTAAATAGCACCCAACAGGCCAATGAGGCCAGCAACAACTTTTTGCCTTGTCGGCAGCTATAAATGCATTGTTAGCTCATACGAAAGAAATCATCACAGCCACACAACAAACTGTACTCACCGATCCGCATAGGAACCCCAGAAGGGTGCCGACAAGAACTCCACAAATGGACGCATACCAATCAATATACCGCACTGCCCCGGATTCATACCCATCTGTTTGAAGTAGACACCCATCAGTGGAAAGAGTGAACCAAAAGCGGCAAAGAAAAAGAAATAAAAGGCCTTCACCGGTATGAGTTCGTGTTCGGTGGGCCCAAAAAGCATTTCGATAATATCAGCGTGACCGCGTATTTTGTGCGTTGACTCTTTGGCTTCCGGATAGCTGTTGGCAAGATTTTAGTTTATTAAAAAGCATAACTCAAACTATTTTAGTAAACCTACAGTGTTGGATCCACTTCACCAGTAGCCTCTACATCGACACGAGGACGTGCCGCCATGCCATAAGGCTGTTGTGGTACGCCACCAGCATTCGGCATGCCACCACCATAAGCCGCACCGCCAGCCATGCCCTGATTACCATAGCCGCCACTTTGATCGTAACCCGCACCGCTTTGATCATAACCTCCACTTGTTTGATCATAACCTCCACCGGTTTGCTCGTAACCGCCCATCTGTTGTCCATAACCGCCGCCATAGTTAGGCTGTTGTTCATAGCCGCCACCACCGCCACCAGCACCGAAGGGGTTTGGTGCGCCACCACCGTACTGAGCCATGTTTATCTAAAGCTTATAGTTGTTAGTGTATTTTCGCTGTCTGTATTGGTCTACCTCTATTTGCGGTAAGCCGAGCTGCTGCAATTGTCATTTTTGGTGTTGTAAATTTTAGTGTGGTTTTGCAAAAATTTTACAATTAATCAAACCTTTTTGTCCACGCTATTGTTTTCTTATTGATATTTTGCTGAATTTCCTATATTTTAGTGTTGAACTATATTTTTTCCTTGTTTTCTTTTAACAATCATACACCAAGTCATTGGTCCCAATAAACTTATTTTATAATCTGGAAGCAAAAGAGTATAAAATATTATTTCAATTTTCTTCGCAAAAAGTGTGTGAGACAAAATTTGTCAGTGTTTCTTAAGTTCAATATATCATTCTGAAAGCCAGAAGCAGTTCTTCACACAAAAAACTGAGAGAAGGTCAGAAATTTCATTTATCGTTCAGTACTCTCAGAGTCTAATTTTTTCAGTGTTTTACAAAGTCAATATAACTTAATTAAATCAAAAAGTAGTTCCTCATAAAAAAAATAAAGGAAGTGTCCATGGAAATTTCTTTTATCGTTCTCGGTGATTTCATTTGTCGTTCTGTACTGCCACAGGCTAAGTTTGCTAGTGTTCCACAAGTTCATTATAACTTTGTGAAAGCCAGAAGTAGTTCTTCACCGAAAAAAACAGAAGAAAGGGTCCACGACAGTTTCATTTTTTGTTCTCTATTGACAGAAAACAAATTTGTTGGTGTTCCACAAGTTCATTATAACTTTCTGAAAGCAATAAGTAGTTCTTCATACAAAAAAAAATTCAGGAAGGGTACACAGTAGTTTCATTGGTCGTTCTCTACTGCCAGAGACCAAATTTGTTAGTGTTTCACAAGTTCAAAATAATCGAAATCGAAGAAAGCGTGCTCCGTAGTTTCACTTATCTTACTATAAGAGAATAAACTTGTCCACGTTCAATTAGTTCAAAAAATCTTCAGAAGCCAAAAATAACTGCTCACTTATACATATATGTATGTATTTTTTGCTGTCAATTCGCCATTGCCACAGACGACACTAAATTAATTGACGTTCCATAAATTCAATAAATTATCACGATAACCAAAAATAACTCTTTACATATCTGTATTTATTTGTTGTGATAGAAAGTTTTCTAATCGTGTCTTTGACAATTTTAAATCATAAATCATTATCGTTATAAATACAAGCCACCTTTGGTTCACAATTCCAACTGACCTTATCTTCAACTGACTTATATTTCAATAACTGCTTTCAAAAACCATTCGAACTTGGCAGCTGACTCTTATTAATGTCACTTTCTCGCTTTCTTTCTTCCACTCTTATTCTCTGCCACACGAGCGTACTGTATTTATGTGTCACTGTGTGACGTGTACAAAGAAGTATTCGTTTTCAAACAAGCATTTTTCGACATGGGCGCCTATTGGTATGCTTTAAATTATAGAAAGTCTTCCAAATGATAGAGTACTCGCTTAAGTACGTGACTATTAAATTTTTTTTGAGTTCGCTGTAAACATTGAAGTGTTGACGCACACTTTGGCATACATATAAAATTTTATTACCTCATATGAGACATTTATTTATTTTTCCTCTAACGCCTTCATAAGAATTTTATTATATTTTTTGTATATTTATATCTTCATTGTAGGCCACAAATAATGGGATTCACCATAGAACATGTTTTTTTCTCTTTTTTCTCTTTTTCATTTCATTTTTTTCTCAATTTTTCAGTACAAATTGAAAAGCTCTACAAATTGACAGAAATTTTATGTCGTCTTCACTTATTACGTCGCACAATTATTGACAAGGACGCAATATAAAAACAAAAAATATAAAAAAATACATCGCTGGCGGCAAGTGGCCTTCAAAGCATGTCGCAGATTGTAGTGTTATTATAGAATAAGGCTGTTCGCATATAATTTAGTGTTAAGCCAGAGGGGTGAGCGAAAACAGCGTTAAAAAATATATTTTTATTTAAACAAACAGCAGTCTTCGTACATTTCAATTTAAATTCCAAATAACCTACCTATTCCACATATCACTACATGCCACTCGCTTCACTTAAATTCCACCACACAAAGTTCAAAATCATTAACACCAGTCTTCTTGCTGCTAAATTGTTTGCTAATCGCCGCACTTGAACTACAATTAACTAACATTTATTTGATATTTTATCTTTTCATTTTTTCTCACATTCATTTGTGCTCATTTTTTATTTAGCTTTTCGTTTTTCATTTTTCGTTTGGCGTATTTTTATTTATTTTGTTTCAATTTATATATTTAACCTCTGCACTTTGCTTTGCTCAATATCATATTTCAGTTGAGTGTCAGTGTCGCCAGTTAACAGTTTTCTATGTCATTGCGCATTTTGCATTATCCACATACAAGCATATACACATACCAGCTGGCAATGGCTTTGAGCTACCTAATACATATACATATATGTATGTATATATAATTATATGCATTTGCATGTGTAAGGTCGCACGCAAATAACTACGTGTGAGCGCCTTGATGCTAAAAGCACTAATCACATATGTATATAACATACATATAATATATTAATTTGTCGCCTGTGCGCCATGGCGTATGTGCACTTTGCCATTTAATCTCCAACGTTCCGTACAATATATTACTCATACGCCATGTATTGTTAATGCTATGCTCTGTTTGCTGCCTTATTACACTGCGCATTGTTTTGTTAACGCGCTTTTATGCTGCAATTGTTCGTTTATTGAACATTTTATGCAATCACTTGGACTCATATCGCACGTAAGCCTATATATTAACAGCCTTTTATTTTAGTTATTTTTTGTTTTTTGTTCTAACTTGCTGTTGGAGTGTGTGGTGAGCCATCCGTGCGGAACATTTAGTAAAAGCATTTCATTGGGATTTTATTAAAACTTGTAAGCGTGATAAACGCCTATTTTATTGACCTCAATAACAGCGTGATACAAAACTAATGCCTTTGATAAAATTTGTGAGCCACTTTGTATGGCAGCTATAAGCTGTGGTGGTTCGATTCAAACAAAATCTTCGCAAAATATATCATTACCTTGGACAATGATCTGTACCGAATTTCGTGGAGATATATTGTCAAATAAAATAATTCCCCATACAAAGACTTAATTTTTATCGACCAGTTTGTATGGCAGCTATATGCTATAGTAGTCTGATCTGGAAAATTTCTTGGCAAGTTTTGGAAATGGTTACAGTGATAATCTATGTCAAATTTTTTGCAGATATTTCTTTAAATAAAAAAGTTTTCCATACAAGCACTAGATTCAAATCGTTCAGTTTGTATGACAGCTGTATGCTATAGTAGTCTGATCTGAAAAATTTCTTCAGATATTGTGGATATGACTACCATAATAATCTGTACTAAATTTCATGAAGATACTTCTTTAAATAAAGAAGCTTTCTATACAAGCACTTGATTTTGGTCGATCAGTTTATATGACAGCCACATCTTATACTGAACCAATAACGGATGTTGACTGAAAATCAGCAGCTACTTGTAGTAAAAAGACGTCTGCAAAATTTCAGCACGATTTTACTTTTTCTATCCAATACTTTCTTCGAATTTATTGATTTTAAACTCTTCTATACTTTTGACAACATGAAAAAGTATATGGAAACATATATGCTCCCACTAAATGCCAAAAAATTAGCATGTCATATTTATTTACATAAATAAAATATATTATAGTTTATAAATGCATATATACTCATATGATAAAAAGCATTAGAGCTCTACTTATGAGTTTTTTATTTGTCAAGCAGCCAAATTCACTTTCCACGTGCTTTTCGCACCAATATTTCCATAACTACCCACAAATGTATGCCATAAAATAAGCGCACGCAAATTTTTACTAAGCACTCGAGACACAGAAATAGCTTGGCAAACCCTTATATACGCACACAAATACATAAATTAATACGTAGTACTATATTTCCACTGTATGTGTTTGTTTGTATGAAGTCAGCCAGTGCCATTGCGCTCATGCACACACACACGCTTATTTTTATATTCCTTTCTACCTTCACTGCTTTTAGGCAGTCAAATACTAACTATGGCTTGCGAGGAATTGCGAGTTAGAAAAAATTATTTATTCTAAAAAAAATTTGAAAATTCTGTATATTTTTTTAACTGCATATCGTCACCTAAAGTGCCAGACAACGTATGATCAATATAATTTTAAAATGGTTGTCAGATATAATAACCAATATATAACCATTTTATAACCAAACCTCCAATTTTATTTCAATATGAGTGTGTGATAATCAATTTATAATCATTTTATAATCAAAACTAAAGTTTTGTTTCAATTATTTCTGCTTGAAATATATTGCATGGTAAATTTTACGCATTCCTATTTTTGTTGTTTTTTTTCATACACTTGTTGTTATTGTGTTTGCATCATCCTGCCTCATATTTGTCCACAGTCAGCTTTATCCAATCAAATCGCATACTTAAAATTATCACCATGCTTTCTTGTTGTTTTTTCTTACACTTAGTGATTTTTATTGTTCTCTCTTAACCACCTTCCTGCAACTGTCAACTCAATGCTCACATTCAAGGTAGCAGCAGACATGCTGTGCTATGTGTTGGTGTGCGTGTGTGCTGTTTGTATGTATACTTACTTGCCTGTGTGAGAATTGTCTGCTTGAGGATGTTGAAGAAAAGTCTGGCAGATGCTTTGCTTACTTAAAATTTTCTTCAAAAAAAATGTTTACTCGTCACTTTTAAGCAAATTTTCCGTTTTTCAAGTCTTTGATTTTTTTTTTCAAATTCTTTGCGCTTGCTATCAGTATTAGGCGTTTTCACTCGCCTTCAACGCGCCGAAGGCCAAACGAGCGCTGTGAAATTCGATTTTTTTCACTGCTTATCGTTGCCAAAGCATTTTCACCACTTTCACACACCTCTTATAATACACACACTTTTCTTGCCAGATTTTTACACACAATTTTAGCTTACTTCTCTATAAATTTTTTTCACAAACTTTTCTCCAATCAATAATTTTCACACGTGCAGTAAGTATATTGCATAATTTGGCAATTTGGTTGGACCAAGTATCACCAAACAGCACACAAAGCGCGACAGCAAAAATACATGCGCCTCTACTATATAATAGCGCCAGCACAAGTCATATATAATTTCTGCTGCTGCTTCTACCACGGTTGTCACTGGACTGCTCTGGCGCTCTACTGCTTTTCCGCTCAACTTCTTGTAGGCCACTCTCGCTCGATTTCACCAAACCGACTTGTCAAATCGGATTTCTTTGGCATTCACTCAGCGTAAGAAAACTCAACACAGCTCAAAGCGTGCAGCGTTTTCCAAGTAGCATTTCAATTTCCGCTTCATACTAGCAAATTCATTTGCCACTGACACCCCCTGTGCTGGTGCCTGCCCAGCGTCCTTCATGGCGTATGTGTGCGCGCTAAAGCGCATTAAATTCAATTCTCATTTTCCGTTAAGTGAATGAGCGCCATGCATATGTGCGCATTTGAGAGAGAGAGAGAGAGAGCATTGGAGCAATAGAGCGCAGAAGCTCAGTCAAGCTGTGTGTGCGTTTGTGCTTGATGAAGTCAATACCAATTCATTTATTTCATGCCGCTGAGTTTGTTTGAAATAAGCTGAGCTGCTTGACAGTTTCCGCCACCGAATAAACAAGGCACGAGAGACAGCGAATAAATAAATGTGCTTTAGTTCAAATTTAAAGGCATAAAAGAATATTTTTTCTTTTTTCCCCCTCAGTTGAGTTTAAGATTAAGTTTATGTATATTAAAGATAATTCAATCCCAGACTTTATTTATATATAATAATTAATTATAAGAAAGATTTCAACATGAGATTCATCAAGTGATAAGGCATGCGCATTAATTAAATTGAATTAGGAACGTTATGGCAGTGAAACGAATGCAATTTATTTCAAGAGTAGAAATCAAAACCGATATCTTATCTAGCGTGGTATACAGAGGACGGAAGCAAATCGTCAAAAATCTGTTTATCCTTTTATCTGCGTGGCTTTCTTGATCTTCTTACCGCTTACGCGATTATAACCAAGTTTTCAACAGTGCGGCACACGTTGCTCCATGTAGAAATCAGGTCCGTCTCTACCTGACCTAATAGAATGGAGATATTTCTTTTCCTCTGCTTACCCCACCGCGTACTGCGTCGAAAACTTTCAGTGCTAGAGTGTTTTCATTTATTTGGACGACATAACGATCTAGCCGTGGCTTTCTACTATTGACCAGACTTTCACCAAGCGCCTTCGAAAATATCGCTGAAAATAATATCGGCATCGACGATTTCAAAGCCGCCGTCAACAGCACGAAAAAAGCTGCCATCATGTCGCTATGTCTGAACTTGTCATCCCCTAAAAACTAATACAGCTGTCTAAACTGACGTTCGAGCAACATCAAAAACTTCATCAGGATCGGGAGAGACCGCTTTGCGCCGTTCGATACCAAGTTAGGTTTCAGACAAGCAGAATCTCTATCGTCTGAGTTCTTCAATCTAATGCTGAAGTAAATAATACGAGCTGCAGAACTAAATAGACAAGGTGCAATCTTCTATAAGAGTGTACAGCTGTTGGTTTACGCTACAACAACAACAACAACAACAACTACTTCGTTGACATAAGGCAATACGCCGACCAGATTTCGGACGCAACTAATTTCAGACATCCACTGACAGCTATTAATAGTGGAGTCATAAACACCTTCGCCGATTCCCTCTCAGCGAATGGCGTACTTGGAGTCAAATCCGCACCTGCAGACGAAGTGCCCGAGTTCCTGCCAGAATCGAAAGTGAGCCTTACGCAACTTCATTCTGGATGCTGTAGCGGGTTAAACAAACTGACCAAATATATCTCCCTCATGCAATGAGTCTCGGCATGACTCCAACCACCTCTTTGCATGCCAAGCTCAGATGTTTAGGATACCAGACATCCCTCTCTCTTTGGTTCGACCCCGTTTCCTGAACCTACCGTTAGATGACCTCTTTGACAACTTATCTGAATCTTACCACCCTTGTCTTCCAAGGTAACCATTAAAACAACAACCAAAACAACACATTATTGGTCTCAACAACCGCGCCATTGACATAGTTCGGCCAATCAAGAGACAGCAGCTACGCTGGCATGGATTTTCTCACAGCAAAGAGCTTCTTTCTACCTCTTAATTAAGAAACTATCTCAGAAGTATCCACATCATTTTCCGACTAGCACTTTTAGAATAAACAATTATTTTCTTTGGATGAAATTATAGCCTTCATAAAGTCACCTATCGAGATGAATAGGTTGCACTTACAGAAATCTTCCTCAAAGTTCGGCAAAATCAATTTCAGAAATAAGTAATCTATGTTATATGCGTTACAAAAATCCTTTAAGCGTTTTGATTTAAAAATTTTTACATACCTTTAAATAAAAAAGCTTCCAACACTCCAGCTTTCATTTAAATTATAATCACAGTCGAGAGATCTTTACTGGCGCGTAAAATCGAAGCCTCAAGTGGCATTGTCTTTCAATAGACTGGCGTCAAATTGTCTCTTGACTCTTAACAAAGTAATGATTGGCGTCTAGCGGCGGCAGTAACGGTCAGACAGGCGAAAAATTACCACACTTTGGTAATACAAAGATGATACAAAGAGTATGAAAACAATATAAGAAGGGAATAAACAAAAAAAGTCTATAATTAAAAACAAAGAATACGGAAACTGTAGTAATAAGAAAAAATAACACAAAATGAAGAAAGCAAAGTAAGCGAAATGCGAACAATAAAAGCTCAGCAGAAATAAAAGCAATGGAAAGTGCTGCAAATTGCTGACTATTCAACGCATTCACCGTCTGTCCTCACCAGCAACCGACAATGTGTGCTTTGAAGCGTGTGATTAAAGTGCAGAGAATGAGGGGCTGTGCTTATGTTGACTAAGAGGGAAAAGTGATTGTGGAAATTTTTGTGTATTTGTACTTGTATTAGCGTGTGTTCTTTTCGATTCCTCGTGGTGTAAGTGTGCGCATTAAAACTACGAGTATATTCAACAAGTGTTTTGGGATGCTGATATTTTTCATTCATATTATGTGATCAAATTTGACCGATACTGACAAAAAATCCATTTTGACATATTTTAATAAAAATATTTATTATCGCCTTCAAAATAGGCCAACTATTAATGCAATTTTCCCTACACTTATTTTAAGCCTCAACTGGGATGGCCTCAGAGGCTTTATTGAAATTTTTTCGAGTTCATATACTGATGTTCACCGGTATCAGATTCCTATTAGAAAATCAAAGTGTATTATAGCATTAGTCTTAATTTACTGGAATGTTGATTTCTTAAAATGATCGCTTAAGAAACTGAAAATGTGGTCAACAATTACGAAAGGCACCAAAATACAGAGTGATAGTTAGTCCGGCATCCACAAAATGAGTGATATCTTGGACTTCAAGGGTCTCCTTTACAACAGTTGAGAAACTACTGACCAATTTGGAGAGTTTGCACAAATTGGAATACTGCTTTGCAGATTAATATCGGTTCTGTGATCTTCCGATAGAGGCAACAGACCTTATACTGCTTGATAGTCCCGCAAGCAGAAGAAAAACGGAGCTTAGGTAAAAAAAAAAATTATCGTAACAACGAATCCGCTAAGAGAGCAAGTCATAGCTACTGGTCCAAGAGCTCCGATGTCTTTCCTTGAAGCAACTGAGCTTAATAAAGTGATTTGATAAGAGCAGAGGGCGCACAGATTGCCGGTCTTGGAAAGTTGAATAGACGATTATGGACAATTTAGTGCCCACAGTTGCTCCATCAAACTTATTCGCATTATCAAGATAAGCATACAACGATACTGTACATTCCTATCTTTAACTCTTGTTACTTGGTTGAGATTTTACGAATCATATTATCAATTTTATCATGTTTATTTCACCGAAAAATAAATATATTTTTTAATTTACATATTTCTTACATAACAATTTCACATACTACTATTAAATGCACCAGGAAATTTTCACTATCTTCTCCCACCCTTTTATCTTTATCGCTCTATCTCTCTCTCTTAACCGAACATGTGTGTGAGACCCACACCACCGAAGTAGTCGCGCTGTCCACTCAGTGGGCCACTAGTCCATTTCGAACCACTGCCAGTTAAATCGATGCGTGTATTACGATCCGGTGAAGACCACAGATTCGCTTTACCGGCCAACTCCAATTGACTGCCGAAGTTAGGAATAGTACTCTTAGTAAGGCTGGCGCCATGACCATTAATGTGGGAGTATTCCAAACCAGCGCCGTTGCGATCGAACTTGAAACCATTGGCRAGCGTGTTCTGTGACTTGAACGCATTGGCATCCAAACTGTGCACGCCGTTGTTGTAGAGATTCGCATTGACGCTTTGGGTGAATGTATCACGTACACCGGGAGTGTGCGTTTTCGAAAGAGCGGCGCCCAAACCGTTGCTGTAATGAAAGAATTCCATATAAAAATTATATTTGTGTACGCAAAACTCGAAACTTTATACTCACTTATTGTAAGCCAACGRACCGCCAGTGGTAACTGGACCGCGATCGGTATTTCCAGCAGCAAAAGCGCCAGCGACTAAATTGTGGTTAGGATCACCAATAGCTTTGGCAATGTCTAAGCGTGCATCGGCGCCCCCATTTGGATTACTTGCCAACGAGCCGCCAACACCAACATCACGAGCCACACGCACCAAGATGGGACGGGGTGGGCGCGTCGGTGGCGGATAGTAGACCAAAGTTTGTGGTCGAGCGCGTTGTGGATGTGTGTCTACGTAGGCGTTGAGTGCAATCGCAGCGACTAAGGCGAGCAAGAAGAGCTTCATTGTTATACTTTTCTTTGAAAATTGAGAATTTGCGTAGATTAGACTGATTGAGAGCTGATCACCGTTGTGATTGATTGCTGTGTGCTAACTGTTGGTTTGCTGAGCGCTGCAGCGCGCATTTATGCGATTTCGGAGTGGAACTGATCTCATTTTGCTTATCTTTTAGATCTCGTGAATTTTTGCCGTATTTTTGTGGTAGAGAACATCCCCGAAATACGGAAACTGTGAGTATAAGTACATCTATATGTAGGTTTGTACACGCAGCTGTTTTGCTATTGTGCTATGGTGTGTTCGATGAGATGAGCTGGCTTTCTTATCA